GAACTCCCCTATCAGTGGTATATGGGCACCTAGTGGAAGGTTACATCCCTGAGCACAAGCAGAAGCCAGAGAAGGACACAAAGTGTCCTGTTCCCTTCAGTTCCCTCAGTCTCTACTCTGTTCTCTTGGGACAAGGTCTCTCACTGAGGCTTAGGATAGCAGCCAGCAAGCTATAGAGATCCTGCTGTCTCACTCCACACAGACTGAAGTTACAGGGATGCACAGCCAAGCCTGCAGGTGGGGGAGGGGTGATTTGAACTTGAGTCTTCAATTTCTGAAGCAAGCCCTCTATATGCTAAGTCAGCTCCCAGACCTACATTGTTGGTTTGGTTTTGAGTTTCATATTTGCAATGTATTGACCAGAATTATCCTTTTCCCGGGTCTGTCATTCTTGACCAAACCCTGTCCTTCCAACTACACCCTCTCCGAGTACTTTTATGTCTTGTGGTGTTGTTGTTGTGGTAGTGGTGGTGGAGGTGGTGATGTAGGTGGTTATGGAGGTGGTTGTGGTGATGGGTGGTGGTTTTGAAACAGTCTGTGTTGGCCTGACTGACCTGCAGTGTGTTAGATAGACCAGGTTGGTTGTGTCTTCTTTAACACTGGGATTACAAGCATAAATCGGCAGGTGTGGTGGTACATGCCTATAATCCAGCACTCAAGAGGCAGGGCAGGCAGATCTATGTGAATTCAAGGCCAGCCTAGTCTACAGAGTGCATTCCAACACAGCCAGGGCTGTATAGAAAGACCAAGTCTCAAAAATAAACAAACAAGTGTGAGCCTCCATTCCCCACCAGTAGAAGAAACTCAAAAAAGAACTGGCTCGTGAACCTACAGAGACTGGCAAGTGCACTCTGCAGACTTGGCTGGTAGGATGCAGACCTGGGAAGAGCTGAGGTGGTCGTGGAAACCCAGGGGTTGTCTGTGAGAGACAGACCTCCAGGACTCTTAGAAGCATCGGCCTTGGAGGGACTGCTGGAGGCTCCGTCACATGATAGAGGACAATCTGCTTTCGTCAGAGTCCACCAGTTTAAACCCTGTTCAGAAGATCCCACACAGACATCGCGCATGCCGGGACACCTGGACACTGCAGCGTGTTGACAGAGAATGAGCCCACATGAGGTCACCACACTCATGTTTACCCCGGTCTCAGAGTGCTCTGGATCCGTTCCCCTCTGACAGCATGGACGGACGCGTCTGCAGGTCCTGGCTGCGTTCTGTCTAGCATTGAACTTG